CTCTTTCGCCTGGAATCGGCCTCAAGGAAGTCTTTGATGTCTCTAATGCTGTTCACCGTATGGAAGAAGAGTCACGTCGTCGCCACGCACCGCAATTCTCAAATCTTCATCCTGTTGATGCCCTCAACACAACGAGCCGTCAGCGTCAGGCATTCATGTCCCAGTTGAAATGAGGAGGATGAAGAGGAGGAGCGGTCATCATATTCTGATACAACTGGCTCGATCTCGAGCGATGATGAGGCAGTCATTTCGAAATTGAATAACGCTCAGATCGATATTAATAATGTTCAAGAAGAATCGAATGTCAAGGAAAGAGTGGATGAACAAAAAGCTCAAGAACTGAAATTGCTACTCCAACAACAACAGCAAGAATATCAGAAGGCACAAGGTGAAATTGCAGCGGAACATCACCAAAAGTATTTGAAGCAACAGCAACAGGCAGGACACTCGATACCAGCTCAACAGCAACCACACGCCGTACGTGGCAATAACCAAGTTGGGCCAAGTGGATCAAAACCGCATCCTACTATTAGTAACTCGACCTCAACTTCAACCGCAAGCTCGGCCTCGACGACATCGACAACCCGTCGCCGTCGAGCTGGGTTTGAGTTAAATATCAACCATGCTACATTACTGAATCGTCGGGCGAAGCAGCAGCAACATCCTTCCATGATGCTGGATCAGCAACAGCAACAGGAATCTCCAGCCATGGCCATCTAGAGAACACAATATTACAATGTTTTCTATTACTATTGCTTCTTTTTTTTTATCCCATCTCCTTTTCTTTTTTTTTTTTTTGCTCAGTGATTGTTGCTCATTCCTATTCCTGTATCAATAGTTGTAATTATTAACCTCAAAAAGAACTAGCAAACAAAAAAAAAAAAAAAAAAAAAAAATTGACGATAATGATGATGATGAACATTGGCCATCTGTGATCAATTATAGTCAAGATAGAGTGAACAACGTGGGAAAATACTATTTTTGCATCTATACTCGAGTTTAATCGATAATAAATCGTTGCTATATGTTTTTATTAATGAGCAACTATTGATATGGCATCAAAATTGAGTGGGCAGATGGATGGATGGGCGAATCAATTGTGTTCGACAGGTAGTTACTCAATAGTCAAGATCTCGGTCTAGCGTTGCTGTTATTCTAGAAAGGGCGCTTCCGAAGATAAAACATTTGTACATGTACACAGGTCCTTCAAGAACAAACTTTCAAAAGGCTTATAAATGCTTATTTTAGTTTCCATTTCTGTTTGTCTGTCGCCCTTTCTGATTCAATGAAAGTGGATGCGAAGGGAAAGAGGAGAAAATCCATAAGGGGTTTATGTGGGCCCTGCGGAAGGAAAAAACAAAACAATTGCTCACGAGCGCATATTTCTCCAGAGAACAGACACGACTCCACATCCATACCTATTTACTATTTAAACCTTTTTCTTTGCTTGCACTTGTCCATCACTTCTTTTCACTCCCTATTCCCTACTCTTGTTCGCTCTAATACCTCCTCCCTCCCTTCTGTGCCCATGACCTTGACTATTGTTCTTCAACAAGCACGCCGTGGTGTTGCAAAGGTATTCATTAAATTTTCTCCTTTAACGTTTGTTACATGTTTATTCCCACGGGTCAGATATCCACATTCTGTAACTTGTTTCGAAAAGTCTTTTCTTTTGGAAACAGAAAAGTAAGGGACAACACGGCGTCTGTGGAAAACCCTCATCTTCCTCATCAACCTACATTGTCAACAACAGAGCACAATTGACACTGAAAATAACTCATTCAACATTGGCCCATGAAGATGTCGTTTTTTCCTACACTTCTCATATTCCTCATGTTACACCTTTCGTGCACCACGCTGACGTTTTTTTTTTTTATTTTTTTATTTTTTATTTTTTTTTTTATTGAGTTTAGAAGGTGACCATTACTGCCTTCACTACCACAATCGGCCGCCAATTCTCTATATTCCGCCCCGTCTATAAGCAGGCAGCTGCTGATGATGAGCTGGTCGAGAACTTGAGCAAAGTTTATCCTTCAGCGGAGGAAGCTGTCAAGGATATCCCTTCAGGTTCGACTCTGATGGTTGGAGGATTCGGACTCTGCGGTATTCCAGAGAATTTGATCGCAGCATTGAAGAAGCGTGCTTCAGACTGTAAGGACTTGATTGTAGTTTCTAACAATGCTGGCGTGGATGATTTTGGATTGGGACAGCTCCTGCGTACCAAACAGGTATGAACTCGTATAAATATTTCAGCTACTACTTTTCCCCACAACAGTCTCGTAATGTGGAATGTGAAAACGATGTAAATGTCTCTGTAAAGTGAAATAATCTAACAGCATATCTGTACTCCGTATTCTGTCTTGTTCAATCATATCTTCGTATAGATCAAACGCATGATCAGCAGTTATGTAGGCGAGAACAAGGAGTTTGAGCGCCAGTACCTCTCTGGAGAGCTCGAGGTTGAGTTGACTCCTCAGGGTACTCTAGCAGAGCGTGTTCGTGCTGGCGGTGCTGGTATCCCAGCTTTCTTCACTCCTACTGCTTATGGAACTGAAGGTATGCACACAAGGTCAATCATCACTTTAGGGTTTTAGATGTATAGCGTTCTATCTTTGCTCGGTCGGGGCACTGCAGCATGAGAACACAATCTCTCTCTTTACCTTCACTTGACTGCACTGAGATTCATGAGAAATGATAATGGCTTTATTCATCAGACTTGCTTCAATAACTCATCTATCTGTTCTCTTTATTCTAACTTACGGGATTGGGACTCTAATAGTTCAAACTGGTGAGCTCACAATCAAGTATAGTCCGGATGGCAAGCCTTTGATCCGCAGCAAGCCTAGAGAAGTGCGCGAATTTAATGGCCGCAAGTATATTATGGAAGAGGCCATCGTTGGAGACTACTCATTGGTCAAAGCCTGGAAGGGTGATGCCTATGGAAACCTAATCTTTAAGGGATCTGCTATGAACTTCAATCCGGTCATGGCGAAGGGTTCCAAGAATTGCATTGCCGAGGTAAAAAAAAAAAAAAAAAAAAAAAAAAAACGGTCAGAGTAGATGGTACAATATGAACTTTCGAAGGACGACGCAAGCTGAGCAAATTATAACAGATGAGAATGGCCTTTCCTGTTGGTTATCAAACTAGGTCGAGGAAATCGTTCCCGTTGGTTTCTCAGACCCGAGGACATTCACTTGCCTGGCATCTTCGTAAAGCGCATCATCCAGGGTAAGAACTATGAAAAGAGGATTGAACGTCTCACCTTGACTGAGGACAAACCTGTCGGCGTTACCAATACCTCTCCTGTGTTGATGAAAGGGATGAAGCTGCTCGTGTCGTGAGAAGATCGTTCGCCGTGCCGCTAAGGAGTTCAAGAACGGCATGTATGTCAACTTGGGTATTGGTATGCCCATGCTTGCGTCCAACTACCTCAAGAAGGGCGTTGCTGTCCACTTGCAAAGCGAGAACGGTATCCTTGGTTTTGGTCCCTTCCCCAAGCCTGGTGAACAGGATCCTGATCTGATCAACGCTGGAAAGGAAACTATCACACTTCTACCTGGCGCCTCACTCTTCTCAAGTGATGATTCGTTTGCAATGATTAGAGGATCACACGTAGATTTGACTATTTTGGAGCATTGCAGGTGTCGGCCAAGGGTGATTTGGCCAACTGGATCATCCCCGAAAGATGGTCAAAGGAATGGGAGGGCCATGGATCTAGTCGCCAGTCCCGGTACCCGTGTTGTCGTGACGATGGAGCATCTGGCAAAGGGCGGCAAGCATAAGATCCTAGAAGAATGTACATTACCTCTGACTGGCGTTGGTTGTGTTGATAGAATTATCACAGACCTGTGTGTGTTTGATGTCAAGGATGGCAACCTTGTATTGACCGAGTTGATGGCGGATGTTTCATTGGACGATGTGAAGCGGTGGAACAGGTGCCAAATTTACGATCTCCCCCGACCTCATCCAGAACTAGACAAATAGCATCCCACTCTCCTTTTGTAAAAAAATATAAACACAATTTATTATTATTCCAGGCTTGTAAGATGTTGAGACAAACAGGATGAATTCTCCTGACCAATCAGGCCGTGCTGAGGACTATAAGGAAAAGAAAGGAAAAAAGGCTGTGCACTAAAAGAAAATAAGGCAAGCGTGCATCAAGGGGGGAGCGCAACAGAACATAATGGAAACTTGATGGAACACAATCGAAAACAACAGAAAAAAGAATGTAGAATTTTGTGGACAGAGAGACCAATGTTTTTAGAAGGAGATCGAAAAAAAAGTGTCTTCGCCCACTCATAAATTCTGACACTTCAACTGCTGGGAATAGATAAATAGCTTTTCTTCACTTCTCTTTTTTCATCACTTTTCTTTCCTTTCTTTTCCCTACCTTTTCTCGCAGACAGACTGCATTACACCCCACTCATCTCTCACGCTCTCATTCCACTTTGAAAGTGAAAAGGAATCATTTCTGCTCAATTCACACCCATAAACAACACAGTCAACTTTCATATATATAACCATGTCGACCGAAACATTTTCATTCCAGGTAGGACACCCACCTCCTTATTTACCATTGGCCTCAAGCCTTGAGTGCTCGATAACAGTAAAAAGCAATGATGTGATTATTGATCCAGACCATTACTTTTCGCTTGTTAAATTATATAGGCTGAGATCTCTCAGTTGATGAGCCTGATCATCAACACTTTCTACTCGAACAAGGAGGTCTTTCTGCGTGAGCTGGTCTCGAACGCATCCGATGCCCTCGATAAGATCCGCTATGAAGCCTTGACTGACCCTTCCAAGCTTGATTCAGAGAAGGAGCTTTTCATTCGCATCACTCCTGACAAGGAGAACAAGATCCTCTCGATCCGCGATACTGGTATTGGTATGACCAAGGCTGATCTCGTCAACAACCTTGGTACTATCGCCAAGTCTGGTACTAAGGCTTTCATGGAGGCCCTTAGCAGTGGTGCCGATATCTCCATGATTGGTCAGTTCGGTGTCGGTTTCTACTCAGCCTACTTGGTGGCTGAGAAGGTCCAGGTCATCTCGAAGCATAATGATGACGAGCAATACATTTGGGAGTCGGCTGCCGGCGGTTCCTTCACCATCACCCGTGACACTGTCAATCCTCCTCTTGGTCGCGGTACAGAGATGCGTCTCTTCATGAAGGAGGATCAGCTCGAGTACCTCGAGGAGAAGAGGATTAAAGAGATTATCAAGAAACACTCCGAGTTTATCGGATATCCAATTCAACTTGCTGTTGAGAAGGAAACCGAGAAGGAGGTTGAGGACGATGAAGAAGAGGAGGTCAAGGAGAGCGATTCTAAAATCGAGGAGATTGAAGACGAAGATGAGAAGAAGGAAAAGAAGAAGAAGACTATCAAGGAGAAGAAGATTGAGAATGAGGAGCTCAACAAGACCAAACCCCTCTGGACCCGCAATCCCGAGGATATCACCAACGAGGAGTATGCCACCTTCTACAAGTCATTAACAAATGACTGGGCCGATCATATGGCTGTCAAGCACTTTGCCATTGAAGGTCAGCTCGAGTTCCGTGCCATTTTGTTCGTCCCCCAGCCGTGCTCCTTTTGACATGTTCGAGACCAAGAAGAAGCGCAACAACATTAAGCTGTACGTCCGCCGTGTCTTCATTATGGATGATTGCGAGGACCTTATCCCTGAGTGGCTGAACTTTATTAAGGGTATCGTGGACTCTGAGGATCTGCCCCTGAATATTTCCCGTGAGATGCTTCAGCAGAACAAGATTCTCAAGGTCATCCGCAAGAATCTTGTTAAGAAATGTCTCGAGATGTTTGCTGAGATTGCTGAGGATAAGGAGCAGTTTGCTAAATTCTACGAAGCCTTCTCTAAGAACATCAAGTTGGGCATCCATGAGGACTCTCAGAACCGTGCTAAGCTCGCTGATTTGCTCCGTTATCACTCCACAAAGTCGAGCGACGAGATGACATCACTCAAGGACTATGTCACTCGCATGCCCGAGAAGCAGAAAGAATATTTACTACATCACTGGTGAGTCTCGCACTGCTGTTGAGAACTCACCTTTCATTGAGGTCTTGAAAAAGAAAGGCTTTGAGGTCCTCTTCATGGTCGACCCTATTGATGAGTACGCTGTAACCCAACTTAAGGAATACGATGGCAAGAAGCTGGTTTCTGTCACTAAGGAAGGACTTGAGCTTGAGGAGGATGAGGAGGAGAAGAAGGCTCGCGAAGCCGAAGAGAAGTCGTACGAAGGTCTCTGCACACAAATCAAGGAGATCTTGGGTGACAGAGTTGAGAAGGTCTTGATTTCCAACCGCATCTCTGAATCACCTTGCGTTCTCGTCACTGGTGCTTTCGGTTGGTCCTCAAACATGGAGCGTATCATGAAGGCCCAAGCTCTCCGTGACTCCTCTATGTCTTCCTATATGGCTTCCAAGAAGTCTTTGGAGCTGAATCCCAAGAATTCGATTATTAAGACTCTTAAGGCCAAAGTCGATGCCGACAAGAATGACAAGACCGTCAAGGATTTAACCTTGTTGATGTACGATGTTGCCCTCATTGTTTCTGGCTTCAGTATCGATAAGACTGATGTCTTTGCAGACAGAATCAACCGAATGATCAAGCTGGGCTTGGCTATTGATGATGATGAGGAAGAGGCTTCTACTGCAGATATGCCAGCTCTTGAGTCTCAAGATGTTGTAGAGGCTTCCGAGATGGAGGAGGTTGATTAAACAGCGGCCTATTAGAATTTTAATCATTAGTTTCATGTTCATAGTATCATTGCATGGCGGTTGTAATTAGTTCTTTATTTTTTTTCCTATTCGCCAAAATAAATGCAGTCTGATCATCTCTATTACTGTATATTTGCATTTGTATATATATATGTATATTTGGTGACAGGCTTCGGGGATTGAAATACAAATGAAAATCAACATCCAGCCATAGGGACAACTCTACATGAACGTGTGTCATTTTGCTAGCTTTGCTTTTTCTGATCCTTCAGCTTTCAGCAGCTTTCCAAGATGTAATGGAGAAAACCTTGTCTAAAGGACAAGAAATGTGACATTAGTACATGTAAAATGAAATTGTATCTGCATCCCATTTCATCGTAAAAGAGGAGATATGCTTCGCCTTTAGAAGAGCCCTTTCGATCCAAGCTATTTCACGGATCAGCATTAAGTTGGTTTGTTGGAGCATGATCATTGGTGACTTTCTTTTTTTACTTGAGCGAAAATTGTCCCCCAGATCGCAGTATTGCCATTGGATGCTTTATTTTTTTTTTATTTTCTTTCAAGGTTGGATACGTGTAACATTCTGGAGGCTTTCTTTGCAGTGATAAATTGCATGTTGACACGTCAACAGTGCTATGTAGTAGCCAATCAGGTGTTGCCATATCAGGTCTCCCTGTTTCTTGAATTTATTTCTGTATTGGACTGTGTTCTATGGCCTTCTGTGTCCCAGAGCACGTACAAAAAAGCTTAAACGCGCTTTGTTTGCTGGCAAAGCCTGGCTTTCTTCCTTCTCTGGTTACAACAAACCAGCCTATATATATTCTCCCTTCTCTCTCTTTTTCTTTCTTTCTTTTTTTTTTTTCCTCATCATCAGTCTCCACCACTTCTGTTCTTTCCCTCCTTTCTTCACCTCATCTTCCATCCTCATCTCTTACGACTCCAACTCATGTCAAAGTTCATCAAGAGCGTTCTCGCTCTGGTCACTGTGGCATTGGTCTGCATGGTCGCTATTACGACCGTCAAAGCCGATGCTGACGAGACCCGCGAGTCCTATGGCACTGTCATTGGTATCGGTAAGTCAATATACTATCTCTCACACACTTTTACCCGTGTGATCATGCAAAAAAAGTCTGTACAAAGCTGTCTTGAACAGATCCAGCGTGTATTATAAAGAAAGAAAAATGAAGGCGATCAACTACCGCAATAATATCGAGGACAGATTCGTGGAGAAGCCCTTCTCATAGGAGCAGTAGCAGCAAGATCAGTTACATATTTTTCCCTTTTTTACTATGATCTGATACTCAGTGGCTATGGAGTGGGTTAAAGAGCGCAGAGCAACTATTCTGCAAATGCCTCGATTGCGTTCATTTTCAATCTCCCCCTTCCTTGAATCGAAAATTCATCACTAACAACCGCCTCTCTTGTTTTTGCCTGTCGCTTGTTTTTTATAATTAACCAAATAGATCTTGGAACCACCTACTCCTGTGTCGGCGTCTACAAGAATGGACGCGTTGAAATTATCGCCAATGATCAAGGTCATCGTATCACTCCCTCCTATGTCGCATTCACTGAGGACGAGCGTCTTGTCGGAGATGCCGCCAAGAATCAGTACGCTGCCAACCCCACCCAACACAATTTTTGATGCCAAACGTCTGATTGGTCGCCGTTTCGATGATAAGGATGTCCAGAATGATATTAAGCACTTCCCATTCAAAGTCAAGAGCAAAGGTGGCGCTCCTGTCATCCAGGTCGAGGTCAAAGGAGAGCCAAAGACCTTCACGCCTGAGGAGATTTCCGCTATGGTTTGGGCAAGATGAAGGAGATTGCCGAAGCCTTCCTTTCCAAGAAGGTTACCCACGCCGTCGTCACTGTCCCCGCCTACTTCAACGACGCTCAGCGTCAGGCTACTAAGGATGCCGTGCTATTGCTGGCTTGAACGTCCTCCGTATTGTCAACGAAACCCACCGCCGCCGCAATCGCTTACGGTTTGGACAAGAAGGATGGTGAGCGCACTATTCTCGTCTATGATCTTGGTGGTGGTACTTTTGATGTCTCTCTTTTGTCGATCGACGACGGTGTCTTTGAAGTTCTCGCCACGGTCTGGTGACACTCCACTTGGGAGGAGAGGATTTCGACCAGCGTGTTATTGATCACTTTGTCAAGCAATACAAGAAGAAGAACGGCAAGGATATCACCAAGGATCTCAAGACCATGGGCAAGCTCAAGCGTGAGGTTGAGAAGGCCAAGCGCACTCTTTCTTCCCAGATGTCTGTCCGTATTGAGATTGATTCTTTCCATGAAGGTAATGACTTTTCCGAGACCTTGACCCGCGCCAAGTTTGAGGAGTCAACATGGATTTGTTCAAGAACACAATCAAGCCTGTCGAGCAAGTCCTCAAGGATGCCGGCCTCGAAAAGAGCGATATTCATGACATTGTCCTCGTTGGTGGTTCTACTCGTATCCCCAAGGTCATCTCTCTTATTGAGGACTTCTTTGGTGGTAAGAAGGCATCCAAGGGTATTAATCCTGATGAAGCTGTCGCTTATGGTGCCGCTGTTCAGGGTGGTGTCCTCTCTGGTGAGTCTGCCGCTGATTCCGTCCTTCTTTTGGATGTCAACCCGTTGACCCTCGGAATTGAAACCACTGGAGGTGTTATGACCAAGCTTATTCCCCGCAAACACTGGTATCCCTACCAAGAAGTCTCAAATTTTCTCTACCGCCGCCGACAACAGCAGACTGTTTTGATTCAGGTCTTTGAGGGAGAGCGTGGTATGACTAAGGACAATAACCAGCTCGGCAAGTTTGAGCTGACCAACATTCCCCCAGCTCCTCGTGGTGTTCCTCAGATCGAGGTCACTTTTGAGATTGATGCCAACGGTATCTTGCGTGTCTCTGCCTCTGACAAGGGCACTGGCAAGACTGAGAGCATCACCATCACTAACGACAAGGGCCGCCTTTCTGACGAGGAAATTGAACGCATGATCAAGGAGGCTGAGCAGTTTGCCAGCGAGGATCAGGCAATCAAGGAACGTGTTGAAGCCAAGAACGTTCTCGAGAACTACCTTTACTCTGTCAAGAACCAGGTCACTGATGACTCTCAGTTGGGAGCTAAGATTGACGCTGATGATAAGAAGACCATCTTGGATGCCATTGCCACCAAGATCTCGTGGCTTGAGTCCGAGGGTGCCTCTGCCACTAAGGAGGAGCTTGATGAGAAGAAGGAGGAGATTGAGGCCATTGTTAACCCCATCACCTCTAAGCTCTACGGCTCCTCCGGCGGCTCCGGCACTCCTCCTAGTGAGGAGATGCCCTTCGCACGACGAGCTTTAAAAAAAATGCATTCTCTCCCCTCGGGCAGATTCTTTTTTCTTTATCGTAAAATAATATTTTTGCCAGCTCATTCTTTTTTTTTCTGCTTGGTACAGTAATCAAATCCCCAATAAAGTAAAGAAAAAAAATCTTTTTGAAATAAACCATAGCCTTGAAACTACATGAAAAAGCCTAAGTCCACTTCCAGATCGACAGAACATTATAAATACATAAATACATTCATGTATATATATGTTTTTACTACATTTCTCTTACTGGAATCTGTTTCTGAACTAGAGGAGACTTTACAGGTACCTCTGTTCTGGTTGTTTTCTCCTTCGGTCACAGGCATCATGATGGCCCTCCCTGCTGTCCATAGACTAGCCAGCCCATGACTGATCTCACGTCTTGCGGTTGGTATGAAAATGATCATAATCAAGTATAGATTTACAAGTATACAAACAAAATTCCCCTGTTTGCCGCGGGATCAGTAATCAAGCCAAACTGCTTATCTTGAATACGATTTAACGTGTTTGCTATTGGAGAAAGCGTAGTTTAATTATGTCTCATTAATGCATTTTCCTTTCTGTAAATGCTTGCATTTGAGCATTGAGCCAAAGAGCAGGTCTGCATTCTACCCGTTTGTTTGTTTTTTTTTTTTTTTTTTTTTTTTTTGGAAAAAAAAAAAAAAAAAAATTAGTACG